TCGCTCCCAGTGGGGGCAGCCATAGGACAGAGCCCTCGGGCCTGGGCCATCAGATGACTACTCATAGAGTCAGGAGTCTGCTGACCGGGAAGTCCAGCCACCTCAGGTCTCTGAAGACTCATGCAGAGGCTTGACCTGCCGCCCCTCTCCTCTGCAGACACCAACAGTGCCCTGGCTTGGTGGAAACCTCAGAACTGTCATAGGCCTCAGTCTCCTGTCAGAGTGATGACGCTTGAGAAGAGGGTAGGCTCCACTCCAAAGAGCTGGGTTTCCCGAGTTAGATTTGCCGGTATCTGATGGGGACTCAGCCTCAGGCATGAACTTCACCCACCAGGATGCCTCCCCTGCCCTCATGAGTGGTCTTCCTCGAGCATCTCGAGTGCTGTCAGCACTGTGTGTCCTGGAAGGACAGTCCAGAAGGTCTCACAGCTCAGCAGTGTCCCCGAGCTGGCCCTATTCCCTCAGGCTGGTCCTGTCCCTCTTTTCTCTCCCTCCCCTCCCTCAATACCAGCCCTGCTTATTCACTAGAGCCAGGATAGGCCCCCTCAGTCCCCAGAGAGATGAGGCACACCCTGTCCTCATTTGATGGGAACGTTCTCCAGGCAGGAGGACAGACCACAGAGACCGAGGATGGGGCAAGCCTGGCTTCTTCTGGGACCAGCCTCGTGCCCCTGCCAGGGAGGGACGGCAGTGTGGCAGGGGAAGGGGCGCTGAGAAACCACCTATGTGTCTCCATCTTGGCTGCACAAAAGCATCAGCAAAGCAGCCGGGGGGAGCCTGCCTTCGCTTCTCGTAGGCAAGGTATCTGGATCTTAGGGTGCTGGGTTCTGGGCCTCCTCCTCCCTGGCGATTTTAGGGTTCATGTATGAAGACGAAGAAAGAGAACTTGCCTGGAATACATTTCAAATGAGGTTCATTTTCTCAAAGGTCCACATCTGTGCAGACCAGCAAGGCGTGAGGACGAGGTGGAGGGGAGAAGGAAGAGGAAGAGAGAGGGAGAAAGGGAGAGAGAAGACCTTCTCTGAGGCTAGCCAGGGCACAGAGATGAGTGCTCCAAGTCTGGCCACCTCGTTCAGAGTTCTGTCATCTTCAGAGCTCTGCGCAGCAGCGGGCACCTCCGACCTCCCAGTCCCAGGAACCCTCTGCCACCTCCCTCTCTCTTCTCTTCTCCTCCTCCTCCTCTTCCTTCTCCTCTTCTTCTTCTCTCCCTTCCCCGCTCTTCTTCCTCTTCCTGTGGAGGTATGGGACAGGTGGCTAGAGTCAGCAGAACTACTCCATTGGAAAGATCTGCTGGGTCAGACCAGAGGAGTCAGGGCAGGTGCCCTGAGGGTTGCAGACAAGAGGCCCCACCCTGACCACCTTCTGGGGCTGCCAGGATTCCAGGCTCCTGCTTCTCTCAGAAGAGGGAAAAGAAGTCTCAACCGTAAAAAGTGACCTTTCCTGGTTCTCAAGACTTTGTAGATCGATTCCCAGCAGTTCAGTACCTACCAATTACGGGGGTTGCTGCATTGTGTGATTTTCCTCTGCTTCACATTTAATATAAATAATTTTACACAGTAAGTGTGTCTTGTAAGTAATAAATAGTCCAAGAAGATGGTATCGAGATGCACGTGATGAGACGTCTGCCTGTCCCTCCACAACGGAGAAGTCGGAAAACAAAACGAGGAGAACAAACATGGAGGAGAACACAATAAGCAGCACTAGTGGCAACCAAAAATTAAGAATTCTTTTTTTTTTTTTGAGAGGCTTTTATTATAGGGTGCATGCGCTCGCCAGAGAGACAGAGAGACAGAGAGACAGAAAGTGAGAAATCACCCCCTGGGGGGATGGCCACGCCGCAATCCCTTCTCCTCCATTCTCCTCTTGGGATCTTGGGCATGCACGCACACGCACCCGGCATGAGTTTAAGCCACAGGGTCTGGGATGCAAACCACAGTGGACTACATGGGAGTTCAGCGACATAGCCATTATGCTAACTGCTGGTCCCACAACTTTTATATCAGTAGAAGAAAATTTGATCTATTCAATGGAAGTTAGAAAAGGAGAAATAATACAAAAATAATACAAAAGAATAATAATACAGAAACAATACAAAAGAATTAAATAGAAAACAGGAACTACAAGAGTTGAAATAAGATCTAACATCATAGTAATTACAGTTAAGTGTGATATTCGAAATTGGGTTAAATTCACCAATAAAAATGACAGACTCTCAGAATTCTTTTGGCTTTTTTAAACAGCTAATGAATTGCCTAGAGGAGACCATCTCAAATAGAATGGTAAGAAATGTTAGAAAATTAAAAAAAATTGAAGAAGATCTTAGAAGGCAAATATAAAATGAGAGTAGTAATTTTAATATGAAAGCATAATTTAATTTAAGGCAAAAAAAAAGTCTTAGAAAGAGAAAAAACTCTGGCCTAGTAAAATGAATAATACATCTAAAAGACACATATTATAAGCATACTTAAATCTAAAGACATAACTTCCAAATATATAAATTAGCAACCAACATATCACAAGAATAAATAGATAAGTCAATAATTTTAGTTTGAAATATTGACACACCCTCCTCAGAAATTAAAATTTATGGTTAAAAATTCATAAGGCATTTACATTTGACTACATGTCAAAACTCATAAAGCACACCTAGAACAGCTTTATAAATTTAAATTTATAGCTTTAAATATTTTTACCAGACCACTCATAAAGTAGGCGTTCAAATTAAGAGGTTTGGAGAACAACAAAAAATATATATCCAAAAGCAAAATAAGAAAAATAATCCAAAAAATAAATAAGGGTAAGCAGTAAAATAGAAAAACACTCAAGTAAATAAAAAATAATAAACAAGGGCCAGCAGATGGCATGGTGGTTACATCACTGGACTCCCACATGGCCAACCACGGTTCAAGTCCTGGGCCTGGTGGCTAGAGACTCACGCCGGGGTATGTGTATGCGTGCCCAAGATCCCAGGAGGAGAACAGAGGAGAAAGGATTGCAGTGTGGCCATCATCCCTGGGGAGTGATTTCTCCCTTTCCCTCTCATTGTCTCTATTTCTCTCTCTCAGGTGAGCACACATAACATAAGGTGAAAACCTCTACCAAAAAAAATAATTAAATAAACTCATTCCTTTTTAAATTAAATTTATTTTTTATTAAATTTTTACAGCCACTATGGAAAACAATATGGAAATTTCTAAAAAAAACTAAAAATAGCCCCACACCCAGCCAGCCAAGTACAGACCTTGTGGAGTGCACTGGTGAGTCTTCATTCATGGGTGCTAAACCACTGTGGTGCTAGCTGCTCATCGTTCAGTGGCGGCCAGTTGGGGAGGAGGCAGAGCAGTTTATGTTTTTCTTTTTTTCTTTTCTTTTCTTTTCTTTCTTTTTTTTTTTTTCTTAAGGTTTTTGCCATAGGGCTCATGCACTTGTCTGAGAGAGAGACAGACAGAGAGAAGGAAAGTGAAAAATCAGCCCCCAGAGGGATGACCATGCCTTCAATCTCTTCTCCATTCTCTGGAGGTTTGGAGAATGCACACACATGCATCCGGTGTGTTTTGAGCCACCAGGTCTAGGACTTGAACTGCAGTCGGCCATGTGAGAGTCCAGTGCCTTAACCACCACTCCACCTGCTGGCCCTTTAAACTCATTACTTAACAATATAAATAAAATTGACAAATCCATTAAGACTGATGAAGGAAAAGGGGAAATAAATTATAATCAAAATGCAAGATCAAAAAGAAGATAAAATTACAGAATACAATAGAGAACAAAATAAAATTTTAAATTATGAACTGTATATATAACAATAATGAATCAAGTTTTCGAAAGAACATATAATGCCAAATATGGTAAAAAGACAAGCTGGAAGTAAATCAGCCATTAAAGAAATATAAGTCACATCATTTATATAATTAAAGACTACCATTACTGCCTACTTCAACCACCAAGAAAAACCTCAGGCTTAGACAGCATTAAGGAGATACTTTCTTAAGAAACTGTTCAACACTAGCTTATAAAACTATGAAGCTTTGTATTATATAAGATGTTCTAGAAAATACAATAGTTTGTCCAACTCATTTATAAGGCTTACGTATCTGTGATCCCAAACACAGATAGAAATCATAAAGGAAAAAAAATAGACGCTTGAAAATTGTTATTTGAATCTACAAGTGTAATATGAAGAATTACTAGGCCAGCCAGTGGCATGGTAGTTAAGGAAGGCAGATCCCACATGTCTGACTGTGCAGCTGAAGTCGTAGCCCTGGTGGCTTGAAATACACCTCAGGTGTGTGTGCATGCAAGCCCCAAATCCCAACGGTAGAGAAAAATGAGAAGCAACTGTAGTGTGACCATCCCCCAAGGGGGGAGCTTTCTCACTTTCCCTCTCTCTGCTCTCCAAAGAGTGCATGCATCCTCTGGCTTTTTTTTTTTTTTTGAGAGGTTTTTGCTATAGGACACGTGTGCTCATCAGAAAGACGGAGAGAGACAGAGATACAGAAAGTGAGAAATCACCCCCCCAGGGGGGATGGCCACACCACAATTCCTTCTCTCTTCTCCTCTCGGGATCTTGGGCACACATGTCCATGCGCCAGGCAGAGTTTAGGCCACTGGGTCCAAGACTCGGACTGTGGTAGACTACATGGGAATCCAGTGACATAGGCATTACGCCAACTGCAGGTCCCATCTGGCAATTTTTTTTAAGTATTCATTTTTAAATGATTTTTTATTTAATTTTATTATTATTTTAATTTGCTACAGGGCATGTGCACTCACCAGGGAAAGACAGACAAAGATAGAAAGTAAGTGAGAAAGCAAGCCACCGGGTCCAGGACTCAAACTACAGTCCCACAGTCAGCCATGTGGGAGTCCAGCACCTTAACCATCATGGCACCTACTGGCCCCAGTATTATTTTTAAAAGGAAATGTATTCCACACATTGATGAACTCAAGGAGAAATTTGCTTAATTAGGTGCAAATAATAGCCTAATTATTTAAAACAAAAGTCTAACTATAATAGAAGTTCTCTGAAAACTAAGAAAAGATAGGCTTTCCTTATTTTTACATATTTATAGATGAAAACACAGAATAAACATCCTATTGCATGGGAAATCTTTAGATATGTTCTCTTTAATATCAGCAACCAATTAAAGATGCCCACTCTCCCTGCTTTAACTAGGTTCAACCTAGTACTAGCAACGTCAGCCCACAGAAGAAAAAAAGAAAAAGAAATAAGAAGAACAGGATAAGAAAGGAAAATCAAAATTCTCATTATTTGCAGAAATTTTTTTTTCTACCTAGACAGTACATCAAAACTGGATAAACTATAAAAATCATAAGAGGGTTTAACAGAGTTGGCCGAAAACAAGATCGACTTCCCAAAATAAATACTAAATAATCACCTAAGCTATTACAGAAAGTGAGATGTCATTCACAGTAACAGAAGAAGAAAAAGTACCTAGAAATTATTCTGACAACGTACCACAAAGAATACCTGGGACAAAATGAATAGGCCAGGCACAGGTTGGGAAGAGATAATTGCAACAATTTATGCCAGGATGTTCAAGGAACTCTTGCAAAGCAAGGAGAGCAGTTCAAGTAGAAAAAAACAGAGTGACTAATAGTTCATAAAGAGATGATTAACCTTATCAGTAATTAAAAGAAGGAGGGGAAAAAAAAACTCAATCTGGCAAAATACAACTTTGCAGCCTTTACAGTAGTAAAGGTTATAAAATTGAATAATAACTGATGATGGTGATGGTGGATATAGAAGAAGAAATCCTGTTTCAACATCAATGGATGTACAGACCAGTACAGTAATTCTGGGAAACAAACAGAAGCTATTAGTGACATGCAGCATGCATATATCCTAAGATCCCTCAATTTCGTTTCTGATACTGCTCTGGAAGTATCAGTACTCAGCTCCATAAAAGGAACATAACAGAAATAAAGAATCCATAAGGATGTTGTTTCTTATAGCCAGGAGGGAGACCAACCTAGGAATGAGTAACTAGGAAAATGGATAAACAAAACATAGTGCTGTACTTTGTACATAGCAAAAGTAATCACATGTTGAGATACATAGTAACATAGATATTGTTTAGAAACATTGTGTAGAGTGCCAAACAAACAAAGGAAAAGAATGATGCCTGCATTGTTTCTTAATGTAAATCTGAAAGATAGACACAAAAATATACAATTTTGCTAAATATTTCAAAGACCCATTCTTCCAAAGCCCCAGGCAAAACAAAACAAAACAAAACAAACGAAGAATCCAGAATCAATAAATAATAAAAGTAAAAATTAGTAAGTTGTTAGATGTAATGCTATATGAATATATCACCCCCAAATTTATATGTTCAAATCCTAATCCCAAGGTGATGGTATTAAGGAGACTTTGGGAGGTGATTAGGGCACGAGCATAAAGCTCTTATTAATGGGATTGGTGTCCTAATAAAAAAGACCTTCGAGAAAAATTCTCACATAGTCTATGATGTGAGGATGCCCTTACTAGATGCCAATCTACTGCCACATTGATCTTAAGACTTCCCAACCTCCAGAACTGTGAGAAATAAATGTTTATAAGCCACCCAGTCTATAGTATTTGTTATAGCAGCACAAATTGACTAACACGTATAATAGCAAGGTACACAATTCAAAAGTATTCTCTAAGCCAGGAATAACAAGAAAACATAATAAAAGATAAGATGCCATTGAGGATTGCAACAAAAGCTATCGTTTAAAAATGAACAAAAAATGTCCATACCTTTACTGAGCAACACAAAGAAAGATTTGAATGAATAGACAACCCACAGTCCCAAGTGAGGACACCTAGTGGTAGAAGGATGTCAATGCTCCTCTCCCCAAACGATCTAAAATGTCCTATATTTACAATGAAATGTTCAAGGAGGCAGTTATAGAGCTTAATAAATTGACCTATAAGGAAAGATAAAGGTCTATAAGGAAAGATAAAGGTCTATAAGGAAAGATAAAGGTCTATAAAGGAAGCATCCTCAAACAGCCCGACTAGCTATAAAGACATACTACAAAGCTGGAGCAATGGAAACAATGTATTGGGACCAGCAGGTGGCATGGAGGTTAAGGTAGCTGGATTTTCACATGGCCAAACACAGTTCTACTTCCAGACCCAGTGACCTGAAGATCATGCTGGGCATATGTGCGCGTGTGTCCATAATCCAGAGAGGAGAAAGGAGCAGCGAGGCCATCTCCATGGGGGGATGATTTCTCACTTTCCCACTGTCTTTCTCTATGCACCCTATGGCCAAAATCTAAAAAATAAAAAATAAAAAAATTTGCTGATACAGGACAGACTGACCACTCCTCATTTAAGGACCTACCTATTTAGTGAACGCTCTGACTTACAAACAGTTTTCCAGCAAGCAGGGAATCCCCTTTCTCACTCTTTGTCTCATTCCCACAGTTGGTTAGTATTCACTACATGAAGCATTCAAACTCATGCAAGACAACATATTTTGTTTATAGTTATCAAGTTGGAGTTTCTTTTAGACCTTTTCATTATTCAAAAGAAATAAAAATAATTACCCCAAACTTAGTGTGTTGTGGTGTGTCTTGTCACTTTCTGGTGCTTATCTAATACATGCTTTTTGTGGGGACAGAAGTACATGATTCAGTGTGGCATCATGTGATATCTATTGAAAAATGCATATCCTATGGCACCATTACAAATACAAGGCATGGCCTTTAAACTCATCACTTAACAATTTAGTGATAGGAACAGAACTCAGTCATTAAATGAAGAGTGTCTGAATGATATATATATATTTTTTTTTTGGAGAGATTTTCACTGTAGGGCGCATGCGCTCGCCAGACAGACAGAGAGAGACATAGAGACAGAAAGCGAGAAATCACCCCCCAGGGGGGATGGTCACACCACAATCCCTTCTCCTCCATTCTCCTCTTGGGATCTTGGGCAAGCACACACACGCGCCCGGCGTGAGTTTTAAGCCACCGGGTCCGGGACACGAACCGCGGTCGACTACGTGGGAGTCCAGCGACATAGCCATTACGCTAACTGCTGGTTCCCAAGAGTGTCTGAATGATATATTGAATAGAGGACATCCCACAAGCCTACTCATATGCCTATAAGAATCTGATACAGATAAATGTGGCATCACAAAATAATATGGGACATATGGCCTCTTTAGAAAGTTGTTTTTTTTTTTGGGGGGGGGGGGTCAGCAGTTGGTGGAATGGCTATTGTGGGGGGGGATCAGCAGTTGGTGTAATGGCTATGTCGCTGGTCTCCCATGTAGTTGACCACGGTGGCTTAAACTCACGCCAGGCGCGTGTGTGTGCATGCCCAAGAGGAGACGAGAGGAGAAGACTGCGGCATGGCCATTGCCCCTGGGAG